TACCCTTCCCTCCAGATTAGAAAGGCTAGAATCAAGACTCTCAAGTGCCCATTTTCTTCAAGGCCCAAAGTTGGGAAATATTTCCCTACAGAGAAATCTGTTTGAGTTTCTGGTGCTCCAGGAAATGGGTTGGCAAGACACAGAAATGAGAAAACCTGAGGCCAGCAAGAGGCCAATCCTAGGAGATGTTTTTCCTCCGGATTCATTTTTTTTTTTTTTTTTAAAACGGAGTCTCGCTCTGTCGCCCAGGCTGGAGTGCAGTGGCGCGATCTCAGCTCACTGCAAGCTCCGCCTCCCGGGTTCACGCCATTCTCCTGCCTCAGCCTCCCGAGTAGCTGGGACTACAGGCGCCCACAACCGCGCCCGGCTAATTTTTTGTATTTTTAGTAGAGACGGGGTTTCACCGTGGTCTCGATCTCCTGACCTTGTGATCCGCCCGCCTCGGCCTCCCAAAGTGCTGGGATTACAGGCGTGAGCCACTGCGCCCGGCCCTCCGGATTCATTTTAAGGAATACCTGTGCTTCCTGATGTGTGTGCTTAAGATTTGGGCTCCATATCCAGCATTTGAACTCACATTCTCAACGGCAGAGTCATGGCCTGTGGCATCATTTCAAGGCCAAAAATCCCATCCAATTTCTCTTCACATAGGTGACAGATAAGCAAGAAAGTAGCTATCTTAACTCGAGCAGTTCTGGGAAAAAAACTGGGGGCCTTATCCTGGGGATGTGGAGACCTAATTCTTCAGCTGTGTGGCTCCCGTGGGAACAAGGAACACTTTAGCTACTTCTTACTCTTTTAACACCAACTGCTGTGGGAGAAAGAAAGGCTCAAGGCCAGGGCTCAGCTCGCAGAGTCCATCTTCTCCCACAGCTGCCGCATTTGAGAGGGGGCCTACTGAATGCCCTTGCTGTCCCCTATGGCAGTGTTGAGGCCTGACCGAAGTCTGCTATGCTGCTTGCTGACTGCAAGAACTGGTCACAGGATGAAAATTGGGGAAAGGATTTGGGGGAGGTGACAAGGGTGGCATGGAAGTCTAGGGGACAAAGGGACAGGGTTGGGAACAAATTGGTTAACTTTGATTGCCACTCACTGTGGTGCCTTCCCCCTTTCCCTTGAATTCTGCTTTGAAAAGAATAAATTTGTACTTGTTTACTTTGGTTCCTCTGGTTATACTCTTTGAGTCCGATATTTCATATCTTTCCCTTATTTAGGGGTGGGAAGAGAGGGTAGACCAAGAAGCCACAGAAGTACTGTAAAACATAAGGCCACCAGATGAGTCCAACACCTATGGGACACAAAAAGACCTCCCCATTGGGCCCATCTGCCACTGTTACCCGGATTAGTCACTTCTCAACATCCTCCCAACCCTCCCCAAATTAGCTAGTTAGCGCCTTATGAGATGAGCTGTATGTAGCAATGGTTTCCAAATTTCATCCTCCTCAGTCTGAGGATTTTTCACCAGCCCGAAGCATTGTAAGAAAAGTCAGGACAATGCATTGAGTTTTTGTAAAATTATATTTATTCAGTTTAAAGGTCTACCTTTTATTCTGAGATTACGGATATATATACACACACTATATATATATATTTATAACATATATAAATATGTATATATAACATATATATATGTGTGTGTGTGTGTATATATATATACTGTCAATAAGTAAAACCCTGTCAGTCCCTCTTTTCTTTTCTTTTTCTTTCTTTTTTTTTTTTTTGAGACGGAATCTCACTCTGTCACCCAGGCTAGAGTGCAGTTGCACAATCAGCTCACTGCAACCTCTGCCTGACGGGTTCAAGCAATTCTCCTGCCTCAGCCTCTCACCAAACTATAGCAACACTGTCCAGTATAAAATAATGCAAGCCACATATGTAATTTTAAATTTTACAGCAGCCATATTACAAAAATAAAAATAAATAGATGGAATTAATTTTAATAATTAACCCAATATATCCACAATATTACCCTTTCAACATGTAATCAGTATAAAACAATTATTAATGAAATTTTAAAAATATATATATATTTACTTATATTTACTTTTTTGAGGTGGAGTCTTGCTCTGTCACCCAGGCTGGAGTGCAGTGGCACGATCTCTGCTCACTGCAAGCTCTGCCTCCCGGGTTCACGCCATTCTCCTACCTCAGCCTCCAGAGTGGCTGGGACTACAGGTGCCCACCACCATGCCCGGCTAATTTTTTGTATTTTTAGTAGAGATGGGGTTTCACCGTGTTAGCCAGGATGGTCTCAATCTCCTGACCTCGTGATCTGCCCGCCTCGGCTTCCCAAAGTACTGGGATTACAGGCGTGAGCCACCGAGCCCAGCTAAAATATATTTTTAACTAAGTCTTTGGAAATATCAAGCAAGCTGACACATTCAGCTGGGGGAAACACACACACACACACACACACACACACAAGATCCAGACAGATCCAGACAGTTTATTCCTTATAGAGATAGCAAAAGCAAGATCAGCAATGGTATCAGCTCCCTGCATCCCTCGTCCCACAGAACAATATAACAGGACAACAAAAGGGGCTAGATGACAGGCAGCATGAATGGTAGGACCCCCTGGTACTGCGTAGCCAATGCCACACTGCAGCTAAGCAGTTTTATGGCCTGCAGCTGTACCCTCTGGAGTGTGAAGCAGGCAGAAAGCCCTATACTTAACTGGAATGAGGGAGGCAGGTGACAAGCTGCCTCATGGCAACCTCCCTTAAGATAGGGAGATGACTGAGAAACGCTCTTGTAGCAAATTCTCACAAGACTGCCTGTCTTCCTGTGTTCCGGGAGGATCACAGGGTGTTATGCCAGGACCTGAGTCAGCCTGCAGTTGAGCCTGGCCTGTGTGGCCTATGTGGATAGTGTAAGGTCATCAGGATGTGGGCACAGAGCAGTTCCTTTATAGAAATCCAGTGTTTATTTTACACCTACTACACATCTCAACTCAGGCTAGTCATGTGGTGCTCAAAAACCACATGTGCCTAGTGGATGCCATATTGGACAGCACAAGTCTGTAGCATACAGAAGCCAAAATCACTGAGCTATAGCAAAGGAAAACTTTCTGAGGTGTCCGAGTGAATGTGTGCAGGCGTACGTTGGAGTGGGGTGGAAAGTCAGAACGGCAATAGCCTTGGGTGACTGGAGGGCAGTGGTGAAGCAGCCCCGCTGGGTTACATTGAGAAGTGGTAGCAGAGGAGACGGAGGGGCATTGCAAACACACTAGTTTGCCCTTGCCCCTTCCTGTTGTGTTGTCTTCCCTACCACCCTGCCTCTCAGCAGAGCACTGGCTGTTCTCAGGCTGCAATATCAGACAGAGGCTGTACGAGGGCTCTTCTACCTCTTTCACTCCTGGATGCCCGCTGTGGCACATGTGAAACACTCACTGGCTTGTCTCTCCAGCATAACCCCAGGGTACTTTCTATCAGTCCCCTGCCTGCCTTTATCTGGAAAGGCCTATCATCTTTTCAAACTCTGCCTCTTCCCCCACCTTCTACCTCTGACACTCAACTTCTTTCCCTCGTTCTTTCTCCTTATTCTCATCTTTTAAGTTATGGGTTTCTGAAAAAAAAAAAAAACCTATCTTTTTAAAATATCATCTTGGTTTTCAAGCAATCCTCAAACTTCTCTCCTAATCTGGGCTCCATTTTGTTTGCCTTTAACATGCCTATCTCCCTTAGTCTTACTTTTTCCCTTGCATTTCCCCCAGCATTCCTGCCATTTCCATCCCAACTTCACAGGCCCTGCTCATACATGACCTCTCCTTTGCCCATGGCTTAACTTTGACTTGGAGTAGCACTAAAAGTGGCACAGAGAACTTGGGAGTATATTTCCTAAAGCAGCACTGACTTTGTCAATTGGGATCAGACCTGGGGCTAGCTGGGCTACTTCCAGAAAACCCCCAGATGCTTCTTGGTGGTAAGCATTATCACCCACAATTTACAATGAGAAAATAGAGGCTCTAAGAAGCATAGGGGCGGCCAGGCGTGATGGCTTATGCCTGTAATCCCAGCACTTTGGGAGGCCAAGGCAGGTGGATCACCTGAGGTCAGGAGTTCGAGACCAGCCTGGCCAACATAGTGAAACCCCGTCTCTACTAAAAATACAAAAATTAGCCAGGTGTGGTGGCAGGTGCCTGTAATTCTTGCTACTCGGGAGGCTGAAGCAGGAGAATCACTTGAACCCGGGAGGCGGAGGTTGCAGTGAGCCAAAATCGTGCCACTGCACTACAGTCTGGGCGATAGAGCGAGACTCCATCTCAAAACAAAATAAAACAAAATAAAACAAAACATAGGGGCTTGCCCAAGGCAAGTTCCGTCCTTGTGTGAGTTCCACTACAGCATGGTAATTCAACCCAAATATTGGAGCTGCCATTTGTATCACTTCTCTATACCCTCCCCCGCTACATCTCATATTAACCATATAGCATTGGGATTTGGAGCAAATCTTCTCACCTTAACCATATAGCATTGGAATTTGATTTAATTCATTAGGAGTTACCCTAAGAACTCTGGAAGGATGCCCCAAGGCTGATAACATCTTCTGCCATTTTCTAATCAGAGTGCTATGGTCTGAATGTGTCTGCCAAAATTCATATGTTAAGATATAATCAGTAGTGTGTTAGTATTAAGAGGTAGGGCTTTTGGGAGGTGATTAGGTAATGAGGGCTCCACCCTTATGAATGGAATTCATGCCCTTTTAAAAGAGGCCCGAGGGAGTTTGCACTGCCGCCGTGTGAGGATGCACCCCGAAGACGCTATCTAGGAAGAAGACAAACCCCTCACCAGATGTCAAAGCTGCTGGCACCTTGATCGTAGACTTCCAAGCCTCCAGAGCTATAAGCAATAAATTTCTGTTGTTTATAATTTACCCAGTCTATGGTATTTTTGTTACAGCAGCCCAAATGAACTAAGATATAGAGCTTATTGCTTTTCTTCTTGTTTCCTTTTGGATATGAGTACACTCATCATTGGGGATGGTTTAATAAATTGACAGCAATCCATTTAAAAGGAACAATTTATTTATTGTTTAAAGAACACAGACCATAAAACACTAATAATATACCTAGAAAAAAACCCAAACGAGATTGTTAAAGAAGTCTTCATAGGCATTATGGCATCTTGTTCTTCCCAACCTTAACTGATGGGGGTTAGGAGGAGAAGGCTCAGAATAAGGGTTAGGAGGAGAAGGCTCAGAATAAGGATAACAGTTCATAATTTCTTCATCTCTGCTCTAACTGTTCCCTTAGTTGGTGAATAACAACCAGCTCCACCCTAGAAGCAACAGAACAAATATAAGCAGCAGCAAGAAATCATCCTTGAGCAGGAATGCAGCCCTGTTGCTTGAACAAAGACAGAACACAATCTAGTATTAACTGCTGCAAGGTAGGCACTTAAACTCACTGTGGCAGGTTCTAGTGTTTAGTAGAAATGACCTCGTTTTTTCCCCTATGTTTTAGGAAATACTAAAAACCAAAAGAAAAGCTAAAACATATGCAAACCAAACAGCTGTATGGCCTCTAGACTAGACTGCCTTTGGAAGCATGACTGAATCATCTGCTGGTACCATAGCACAGAAGCAATATAATCAATTCTTGTTTGGTGTGGTGGTGCACACCTGTAGTCCCAGCTACTCAGGAGGCTGAGGCAGGAGGATCCCTTAAGCCCAGGAGTCTGAATTCGGCCTGGGCAACCTAACAAGACCCCATTTCTAAATTAATAATAATAATTCCCAAATTGACAAAGAGAAAGTCTCATGGTCGTGTGGGGTATCTAAGTCTACTATATTTTTATACTGGCCTTTTCTACATGACTACAAACTTTGAGCATATTATAAGTAGCAAAGAAGGTACAGATAAATATAACTGATTCAACATAAGGCAATGGAAGGGACAGAAACATGCACAGTTTCATCCAGTCTTCAGTCTGGATGGTGGATCCAAGGTTTGTGTGCCAGGCCAATGGCTCTCCTCACTTCTTCAGAAAACGCTGCAATTGTTCCTGTAGGGAAATGAGCTGTCGGGAGAAGTAGAAAGACATGAAAAATTCATTTGAAATCTGAAGTCCCATTACTTGATCTAGAATTTACTTACATGAACCAAAAAGAACTATTGTTATTTGGCATTTATAAGGTTATCTTAGTCTTGCAATGTTCCAGAGAATACTGGCCACAGTCAAGAATGCATGCATAATGCTGTGGCCATGATGATGTCCTTTATTATGCCCAATTTATGAAGGGAAGCTTTGTATTAGTCAGTTTTCATGCTGCTGATAAAGATATACCTGAGTTTGGCAAGAAAAAGAGGTTTAATGGAGTTACATAGTTCCACATGGTTGGAGGCCTCATAGTCATGGTGGAAGGCAAGGAGGAGTAAGTCATGTCTTACATGGATGGCAGCAGGCAAAGAGAGGAGAGCTTATGCAGGTAAACTCCCCTTTTTAAAACCATCAGATCTCGTGAGACTTATTCACTATCACAAGAACAGCATAGGAAAGACCTGCTCCCATGATTCAATTACCTCCCACGGGTACCTCCCACAACATGTGGGAATTAAAGATGACATTTGGGTGGGGACACAGACAAACTATATCAAGCTTTAAAATTGAATAGGCTTTAAAAAATGTGTTTGCTATTAAGAATTTGTGCTTCTGTGAAGAATATACAGAGGTCACAGCTCACTGTAGGGGCAAAGGAGATGGGATCTCTGTAACCATATTCTAAGATTCAGATGGTAAAACAGTTGGGATACTCTCTTGTCCCAATGAACACAACGGGTCTTAGACTGAGTCTTACCGGCTGCTTCTTACCACATTAGGAGATACTTAGAAACTTAGTCCTGACCCATCAGGAGCCTGATGATGTTCTACTTTTGCTTTCTAAGTTAGAAGCCTTGAATATTTTGTGGTACAGGATTTAATTTTTTTAACTTGAAATGGTGAAGTGACCAATAACATTCACAGATGTATGCCATCTTTATAACAAAGGTTGTTTTTTAATATTATTCATTTCAGGACACTCCATACCAGAATTAATTTTTAGTTTGTGAAATGAAAGGAACATTATAAAACAATCCTATGCTGCACATCACCTACCAAGCCACAATAATTGCTATCTGCAGTAACTTAGAGGCTCTTCTCACTCGGTTGCTGAGTGACCCCTGATTGACCATGATTACAACCAGTGACTGCTCCAGTTCTTTCTCCTTTGCAGGCTCTTTCTCTTCCCGCCACTCCCTAAAGATAGGTTTTTCCTTAGATTCAGACTTCTTGCTGAACAGTCAACCAGGCTAACTCAACTAGCCCCACAGTTTCAATGATCATTTCTGTGTGTGGGCCTCTCTCCAATTTCCCATTTTCAAAAGCACTTCTCCACATATCCCTCCAAATCCACTTCTTGTTATCCTATTTTCAGTTAATGGCACATCATTTCCCGGTTGCCCAGGCTTTGGACTCATCTTTGTTCCCCTTTTTGCCCTGTAAATCCAATCAATTGTTAAGTTCTGTATGCTTCTACCACTTGCACCTTTGAAGCTCCAGGCTGTCCCTACTCCAGTTTCTCCTATATACTTCTGGCAGAAAAATCTTCCTGAGTTACTCCCCAGGTAAAAAAGCTTTGAAGGCTCATTATGACCTACACCAAAAATCTAAACTGTTCACCCTGGCATCACCACCTCTGAGCCAGTGTGCATGCTGCTTTCTCATGGAATGCACTCCTTTCCCTATCTCCTTATTAAAACCCTACCTATATTTTAAGGCCCCAGTCAAATATCATCTTCTCCGTGAAGCCTTCCTTAATATCCATGGACAATCTCTCATGGCTTTAAGTCCCTACCCCTCTTGTCAATTTCTCCCCAAATGAAGGCACAGACTGCATCATAAGCATATCATAGCTCCCTGCAGAGCGTAGCTTAAAGTAGACACCTACTAAATCTAATTTGGATAAATGAACTAACATAAGGGACTCTGAATAAATAAAATTTACAGCTACATTTCTAGGCTGCTCCTCAATACTAACTATAGTCATGTGTTACTTAACAATGGGGATATGTTCTAAGAAATGCACCCTTAGGCAATTTTGTCATGATGTGAATATGACAGAGCATACTTATACCAACCCTAGATAGTATAGCTTACTACACACCTAGGCTACACAGTATAGTCTATTGCTCCTAGGTTACAAACCTGTACAGCATATTACTGTACTGAATACTGTAGGCAATTGTAGCACAATGTTAAGTATTTGTATATCTAAACATAGAAACATAAGTAAACTAAAAATGCAATATAAAAAATTAAAAATGGTACACTTGTATAGGGCACTTACTATGAATGGAGCTTGTAGGACTAGAAGTTGCTCTGGGTGAGTCAGTGAGTGAGTGGTGAGTGAATGTGAAGGCCTAGGACATTACCGTGCACTACTGAAGACTATATAAACACTATAAACTTAGGCTATACTAAAATAATTAAAAAATTAAGTAAGTGGGCAGTTATGTTATGATGGCTATAATGTCACCAGGTGACAGGAATGTTTTTAGCTCCATTATAATCTTATGGGACCACCATCATATATGCAGTCTGTCATTGGCCAAAATGTTGTTATGCAGCATACAACTGTACTTACATTGATGAAAACAAAGATGTTTGGTGGGTACTAAAACAACCCTGGCATTAACTGTTCATCTGACTGTTTTAAAGCAGTACTTGGATAAGTGATTTGCTGAGAGGAAGGGAATATATAGAACATAAAAATTCCGCTGGTCTTGTGGGGATGGGGGTGGGGAGTAGCGCCTGTACTTTAAGAGCACCATGCTAAGCCCATCCTCATAATACCAACTCCAGTCTCCTTAAAATTGTAACCCTCAACAGTATAAGGTTAGAGTCCGCACACATTTTCTTTTTTTTTTTTTTTTTTTTGAGACGGAGTCTCGCTCTGTAGCCCAGGCTGGAGTGCAGTGGCCGGATCTCAGCTCACTGCAAGCTCCGCCTCCCAGGTTCACGCCATTCTCCGGCCTCAGCCTCTCGAGTAGATGGGACTACAGGCGCCCGCCACCTCGCCCGGCTATTTTTTTGTATTTCTTAGTAGAGACGGGGTTTCACCGTGTTAGCCAGGATGGTCTCGATCTCCTGACCTCGTGATCCGCCCATCTCGGCCTCCCAAAGTGCTGGGATTACAGGCTTGAGCCACCGCGCCCGGCCCGCACACATTTTCTATACAGCTACTTGACCCTCATTTAGCCTATATTGCCTTCTTCTCTCTTCACCCTGTACACTCTCTTGTGGCTTTGAAAAAATATAGTTGTCATTCAAGTTAGAAATCTGGCATACATCCTTAATGATTCCTTCTCCTTCAACACCCAGTAATTGACCCAACTCCTATCAATTCTACCTTTAAAATATATTCTCTAATATATCAATATTCATTGTAGCATTATTCATAATATCCAAAAGTGAAAGCAACCCAAATGTCCATCAGCAGATGAATGAATAAACAAAATGTGGTATATTGATCCAATGGAGTATTAGTCAGTCTTAAATAGAAAAAAGTACTGAGACATGCCATAACATGGATGAACCCTGAAAATATGCTAAGTGAGAGAAGCTCGACTCAAAAGACCATGTATTATATTATTTCACTTGTATGAAATAACTAGAAGAGGCAGTAGATTAGTACAAAGTAGATGAGTGGTTGCCTAGTGCTGGGCGGGGGAGAGGTTCTGGAGAAATGGGGAGGGGAGTGACTACTAATGGATACAAGGTTTCTTTTTGGAGTGATGAAACTATTCTAAAATTGACTGCAGTGATGGTTGTACAACTCTGAATATACTAAAAGCCACTGAATTGTATACTTTAAATGGGTAACTTGTCAGGGGGCGGGGAGGACGGGGTTTGAAGCAGTCTCACTCTGTCACCCGGGCTGGAGTGCAGTGGTGGGATCTCTGCTCACTGCAACCTCTGCCTCCGAGGCTCAAGCAATCCTCCCACCTCAGCCTTCCGAGTAGCTGGGACTACAGGCACACACCACCATGCCTGGCTAATTTTTGGAGAGACAGGGTTTCACCATGTTGCCCAGGCTGGTCTCGAACTCCTGGGCTGAAGCCATCTGCCCACTTTGGCCTCCCAAAGTGCTAGGATTACAGGCATGCACCATTGCACCCAGCCTAAATGGGTGAATTGTATGGTTTATGAATTACATCTCAAACAGTTATAAAAACATTTTTATTGCAGTTTAAAATTAATCTATATTCTCTCAATCTCCATTGCTACTACCTTAGTCCAAGTTACCATCCTCTGTTATTAGCGTACCACAAAGCCTCCCAACCAGCCTCTTTGCTTCCACTCTTACCTTCCAACCCAGTCTCCAGATAATAATCAGAGTAATCTTTTAAAAGTTTAAATTAGGCCAGACGTGATGGCTCATGCCTGTAATCCCAGCATTTTGGGAGGCTGAGGCAGGTGGATCACGAGTTCAGGAGGTCAAGACCATCCTGGCTAACACGGTGAAACCCCATCTCTACTAAAAATACAAAAAATTAGCCAGGCATGGTGGCACGTGCCTGTAGTCCCAGCTACTCGGGAGGCTGAGGCAGGAGAATCGCTTGAACCCGAGAGGCAGAGGTTGCAGTGAGCCTAGATTGCGCCACTGCACTCCAGCCTGGGCGACACAGCAAGACTCCATTTCAAAAAAAAAAAAAAATTTAAATTAGATGTGATTTTCCTATCTAAAATTATTCAAGGGCTTCCCACTACACTTAAGGCCAAACCCATCCTCCTTATCATGGCCTTTAAGGAACCATACACTATGGTCTCTGCCTACTTCTCCACCCTTATGTTAAGCCATTCTCTTCCTGGCTTTAAATACTCCAAAGGTCCTCAAAGAGGCCAAGTTCTTTCCGAACATGAGACCTTGCATATGCTCCACCTAAGATGCTCTTCATCCCACTCTGCCTGGACTTAATCCTTCTGGTCTCAGCTTCAATAGCACCTCCTAGGAGAGGTCTATCGTGATCCCCCAATTAATTCAAGACTCTCTTTATTCTAATAGCACCATTGACTTTTTTCCTTCATAGCACTTCTTCACAATTTGTACCTTTATATTTGTATAATTTGTTTACTGTCAATCTCCCCTGCTAGACAGCTCCATGAGGACAAGTACAGCAGGTCCTCGAATAACATCGTTTTGTTCAGTGTCGTTTTGTTACAGTAAGTCCTCACTTAATGTCAACAGGTTCTTAGAAACTGCAATTTTAAGCAAAATGACATCCAGAAAGTCTCCAAATAACATCGTTAGTTCAATATAATTTCATTATAATGTTTTTTTCTTTTTCTTTTTTTTTTTTTTTTTTTGAGACAGGGTCTCACTTTGTTGCCCAACCTGGAGTGTAGTGGCGTGATCATGGCTCACTGCAGCCTCAACCTCCTGGGCTTAGTGTCCCGAGTAGCTGAGACTACAGGCTTATGCCACCACAACTGGCTAATTTTTTGTACAGTCGGGGTTTCACCATGTTGCTCAGATTGGTCTCAAACTCCTGACCTCAAGCGATCCGCTCGCCTCAGCCTCCCAAAATGCTGGGGTTACAGGCACGAGCCACCATGCCTGGCCTCATTATAATGTTGATGAGAAAAACAAAATCACTTCCCCGTACACATTAGGTGAATTGGTTTGTCTGAACTGTCCCAGTCTGAGTGAGAGTGGGTGTGAGCATGCCCTGCAATGGGATGCCATCCTATCCAGGGCTGGCTCCCACCTTGCGCCCTGAGCTGCTGGGATAGGCTCTGGCCATCTGAGACCCTGAACTGGAATCACTGGGTACATAATTGTCTTACTTGTTTTTATCAGTCTTTCTCAAATGTATGTATAGCTCACATTTATTTCACATTTATTATTATATTAGAAGTGTTTTGGTTTTTATTTAGAAGTTTGGTGATGTTTTTGTAACCAGAAATATGCTATAGGAACTCAATTCTTCTTTATATCAGTTAGCCTATAGTAAAATTAGTTTCATTATATATACTTCATTTTGCTTAAAGTTACAGTTTCCAAGAACCTATCAATGACACTGAGGATTTACTGTATTATATTTATCTTATTCAACGCTGTACATCCAGTGCTTTTTACTTCATAGGCACTCAATATCTGTTGAATGAGTGAACGTTCACAAAGACCTTGTTCCACCCTGCTACCTTCATTTAGAAGATGTGGCTACCACTATTCCTATGAGAGGAACAGCCAGCAATAATATTGGAAGTGAGCTGGGGGATTCTCTGTATCAAATGTTTTCTGGTTAATTTGAAAATATACTTCTTACCTTCTCATTTTTTTTTTTTTCCTGTATCTCAAGCTGCTCCAGCACAGAGTGAAAATGATTCTGAAAAATAAATTGTATAAATGATGAACACTGAGTCTCAAAGGAAAAAAAAAACCAAGGGAGGCAAGGAGTTTGGCAAATAATTGTTTTTGTTTTTGTTTTTGAGGTGGAATCTTCCTCCATCACTCAGGCTGGAGTGCAGTGGCGCAATCTTGGCTCACGCAACCTCCGCCTCCCAGGTTCAAGTGATTCTCATGTCTCAGCCTCCTGAGTAGCTGGGATTACAGGAGCATGCCACCACGCCTGGCCAATTTTTGTATTTTTAGTAGAGATGAGGTTTCACTGTGTTGCCCAGGCTGGTCTCAAACTCCTTGTCTCAAGTGATCCACCTGCCTCTGCTCGCAAAGTGCTGGGATTACAGGCGTGAGCCACTGCGCCCAGCCGCAAATAATAAACTGTCATACAAAAGAGCACTCTTTTTAAAGGATTTAGAGTATAAAAACTATCCCCCCTAACTACAGTACCATCCAATTTGATTTTATATACACTCTATAGCATTTTTTTTTTTGTCTTACCCTAAGTGATTGGAATGCCCTTATGTTACCTTTTTCTAGTTTAGCACAAATCCTTTGTCTGTGGTGACCTGTTAGAGAAGCTGGCTTAGAATCTGGTGCTGATGACTCCTCCATTTCCCCTAACTAGGGCAGAGTATCACTATTCCTAACTAGTACTACATGTAACAATAATCACAACAATAGCATATATCTGTATCTTTCAAAATGTGCCCTTATCTGTTATCTTACTTGGTTATTCTAAAGGACAACACCCAAAAAGGGTATAGTTCTGTGCTCCCATTTGCTGAATACAGCTCTGAAGAAAATGAAATCTGGCAGGAAATTCCAAATGCTTCAGAACTTCCCTCACTAAAAAAGGGAAGCAAACATGACCTAAACATACATTTTCTTTTTGTTGAAGCTCTTCAACATATATTAATAAAATATTTATTCTTGTTCAAAATGCACCAAAAATTTAAAAACTAATTATTTCTCGTTTTCACTGCAATGGATACATTTTAATACAAATAACAGGATTCAATCTATGCCCTACCATTTACTGTGATCCCTGGCAAGTTACTTAACCTCTTTGAGTTTCCATTCTTTATCTATAAAATGGGAGTGGTAGGCCGGGCGCGGTGGCTCAAGCCTGTAATCCCAGCACTTTGGGAGGCCGAGACGGGCGGATCACGAGGTCAGGAGATCGAGACCATCCTGGGTAACACAGTGAAACCCCGTCTCTACTAAAAATACAAAAACTTAGCCGGGCGAGGTGGCAGGCGCCTGTAGTCCCAGCTACTCGGGAGGCTGAGGCAGGAGAATGGCGTGAACCCGGGAGGCGGAGCTTGCAGTGAGCTGAGATCCGGCCACTGCACTCCAGCCTGGGTGACAGAGCGAGACTCCGTCTCAAAAAAAAAAAAAAAAAAAAAAAAATGGGAGTGGTGACAGTATTTATGTTTCAAGGATGTGAGGATAAAATGTGATAATATGTGTACACAATTCTTAGCTCTTTATGTGCCTTTTACATAGCAAATGCTCAATAATGGCATTTTTTATCTCAAATCACCTGGTCCCTTCCCCAAAATGCTTATATTAGATGATCAAAATTACTCAGGTAAAAGGAAACGGGGTTATCTTTTATTAGGAGTTTCTAAGAGGCTGTTAAGGTTCATGAATGAACAAGAACCCTGCATAGAGATGACATAAGTGGAAACACAAAGGCAAGATACTGAAAGTAAGAGATCAGGATTTCTTTACGCCAGCCAAGAATTTACCTTGAGTGTCAGGTTTTCCACTTTCATGATGAGATCCTTCTGTCTTTGTGCTTTATTCTGAATCTCATGGAGCTTTTTCTCCTTTTTATCAATCTGCTTCTGAATTTCCATGACTAACAGAGATACACAGAACTTATATATTAAATATAGCCTAAATGAATGGACCAAGATCCAAATCAAGTAAAACTCCACTACACATCTGAGCAATAACTTCTTGAGCTTAGCTTTGGGTCTAATGTATGCTTAGAGTCAGCCTTTAGCACTGCCACCCACCCTGGTCCCATCCCTTTATTTTTTCTCTGACTTACCTATTGAACTGGTACCTTCATTTGCCCTATACTGGCCAGATTCAATAAACTTGGCCTGAAGCTGCCTTTCCAGATACTCTTCAGAATAATCTTCCTCCTCTTCTTCTTCGTCATCTTCATCCTCATCCTCATCCTCATCCTCATCCTCATCTTCATCATCCTCATCCTCATCATCATCATTGTTACTTCTAGAATCACTGAACATCTCCCGAAGCATATCATATTCTACTGGTTTTAAGCAAGAAGAAGGTGAACTATCTAAAACTCTGCAAATGACTCATACTCCAGATAAAATTATACTCCTTACTTTCACATTCCCCAGGCAACCAGTAAATTTTATAAATCATTTTTTTCATGCAGGAAGATTATTCCCTTTGTAAAACAAGGACAGCAAGTGCAAAACACTGTAACATTCATTCATGTAGTGAGTGATCAAGACATTTAGAGACTCTAAGGGTCATAGGAAGTTAAGATACCAGCAGTGGATGGGAGATTAGAACACCAATCTAAAACCCCTAAACTGCCAAGGGACCAATAAGAGGGAAGAAGGGCTGGGTGTGGTGGCTCGCGCCTGTAATCCCAGCACTTTGGGAGGCCAATGCGGGCAGATCACTTGAGGCCAGGAGTTGGAGACCAGCCTGGCCAACGTGGCAAAACCCCATCTCTACTAAAAAAAAAAGAAAAGAAAAGAAAAGAAAAAAAGAAAAAATAGCTGGGTGTGGTGGTACATGCCTGTAATCCCAGCTACTTGGGAGGCTGAGGCACAAGAATTACTTGAACCTGGGAGGCGGAGGTTACAGTGAACCAAGATCGCACCATTACACTCCAGCCTAGGCGACAGAGCGAGACTCTGTCTCCCAAAAAAAAAAATAAATAAAAGGCCAGGCAAAGTGGCTCATGCTTGTAATCCCAGCACTTTGGGAGGCTGAGACAGGCAAATCGCTTGAGGTCTGGAATTCAAGACCAGCCTGGCCAACATGGTGAAACCCCGACTCTACTAAAAATACAAAAATAAGGTGGGCGTGGTGGTGCACGCCTGTAATCCCAGCTACTCGGGAGGCCGAGGCAGGAGAATCACTTGAACTCAGGAGGCAGAGGTTGTAGTGAGCTGCAAGACTGCACCACTGCACTCCAGCCTGAGCGACAGAGCAAGACTCCATCTCAAAACAAAAAAAAAAAAAAAAGAGGGAAGGATGAAACCATCCTTTTTTTCTGGATTGGCCTATGAATTTATGGAAAATGATCTGATACCCAGTCAATACCTGCCCTATCTGAAACTCCTGCTTTGCCTTTACTAAAGTACCTGATGAGGTATGACCCTGCTTGTGGCTGCTCATTCCCGAGGATATCACAAATCCTGGGATGGAGCCTTGACTTTCTATTTCCTTGGTTCCATCTTCAGCAACGACTTCCCAACCTGAAAGGAGTGGATAGTCAAGGAAAAAACAGAAGGAAACAAAAAGGCACAGCTGAAAGGGAAGGGGCTCTTTGACTAACAGTGCTATTTAATTTAGTCCAAGTTTAGGCCATTTGTATTGGAATTCCTAGCTTGAAGAAGTGCCTTATATTGAATTACACAATAAATAATTTTCTATTACATGAATTTGCTGTTCCTAGCTAGAACATAACATTTGAAAAAATCTTAAGTTCTACACATCAAGGCTGGCACACAAACACCAGAGGTGAGGCTTCGTTAGCATGTACAAATGGGGCAGAACAGACTATGCAGAAAATATTTGTATAAAGGATACGGGTACTTATGGCTTCAGCATCTGAACGCAGCAGTCTCCTTACTTCATTTTCCACATCTGGAGATTCAATGTACTGAAGCAAAGTTGGGGATTAGAGGGGGATACCAATACTGTCATTTAACACCCTGTGTTTTGCAGGAGTGCCCTCCTATGTACCAATGAATTCAAATGTTAGGCCTCTTTAAATTCTGATCCAACCAAATTTCTACTTTAAGTAGTGCTATTTATGAAGGAATCTTTAGCCAGAGTCTAGAATTTTATACAGTAAACTTATTTTTTCCTAATTAAACAAATTACTTGAGACATTTAATCTTTTCAATCTGCAGTTCTATGGTAAAGACCTCTCTCAGAGGTGCAACCCTTAGGTCTCAGTTATAAATTATTTGTCCTGCTTTATATTGGCAAAGAACTATAATTCCTTATTAGTTATTTAGAAATAATTTGGTTTAAAGATCCAAATTCCCAGATTTCACTTCCCCACATCTTTATTATTAGAGATGTTCCTACAAAAACTGGATCTTAGCTGTATGTTCTCCCTTGAATCCAGTTTTACATAATTATCTCCACAGCAACCAATTTGTCATGCCACAAATAGAAATTAGGACTTTGATGGGGAATAAGCAATTGCAAACAACTGCTGTTAAAAGTAAACTCTGGCTCCCAAGGAATGGCTTTTGATAAAAAAGAGCAGATTAGAATACACGGGGTCACTGGCCAAATTGTATCTTTTCCTCTAGGAGTTATCAAACATCAAACAATGAATTCATTTTTCAGTGAATCAAACCCAGTGTATGTGTTTAGGATGAGGGTTAGAGGTGAGAAGGAAGGCTCAAAAGTAGCTTTTGTGGTTGATTTGATTCATTTGAAATGAATGAGCTATTAAATAAAATATATTAAGGGTAAAAATGAAGTTATATTATGACTGCTGTACCTCAGGAAGGCTGCTTTTTTCCATTTCTTTGACATCAGGGACCTATGAAATAAAGCACAATAAACAAGTTATATTATGATGCCTATATTTCAGTAAAGCTTAAAGAGTTCTACAACTATTCTTAACTTTGTTTTACATTGAGTAGGCACTCAATAAATGTTGACTTACAGAGTATAAAAACCAAGGCAACTGTGTTCATGGACTGGAAGACTCAACATAGTAAAAATGTCAATTCTCCCCAAATTGATCTATAAGTTTAATGTAATTCCTGCCAAAATTCTAGCAAGGTTTTCTGTAGCTATAGACAAGCTTATTCTAAAACTTACATTAAAAGATATAGGCTTTTGGCCAGGCATGGTGGCTCATGCCTGTAATCTCAGCACTTTGGGAGGCCAAGGCAGGCGGATCACCTGAGGTCAGGAGTTCAAGACCAGCCTGACCAACATGGTAAAACCCGTCTCTACTACAAATACAAAAATTAGCCAGGCATGGTGGCCCATGCCTGTAATCCCAGCTACTTGGGAAGCTGAGGTACGAGAATCGCTTGACCAGGGAGGTGGAGGCTGCAGTGAGCTGAGATCGTGCCATTGCACTCCAGCCAGGACAACAGAGCAAGACTCCGTCTCAATAAATAAATAAATAAATAAATAAATAAATAAATAAATAAAGATATGGACTGTAGAATGGCTAAACAATACTGACAAATAAAAGTGAAGTCAGAGCAATCAGCCTTCTAATTTCAGGCCTTTCTAATTTCAGGACCAATTATATAGTGACACTGTGATATTGGTGGAGGGATTGACAGATGGATCAATAGAACAGAATGGAGAACCTAGAAACAGAGCCACAAAAACAAGCCCAACTGATTTTGGCAGAGGTGCAAAAGCAATACAACAGAGGAAGGATAGCCTTTTCAACAAACAGTGCTAGAGCAATTAGACATCCTTTGGCAAGAAAAGCAAAAATAAAAATAAAAAACAAAAACCTTGAACTAAACCTCATAGCTTTACAAAAATTAAGTCAAAAATGGGCATCGGGCTTAAAAAGAAGTTAAAAAAAAAAGCAGGAGAAAATCTTCAGGATCTGGGCTAGGCGAAGAGTTCTTAGATTTACCATAAAAAGCAAGATCATTTTCAAAAAAATCAATATATTGTGCCTCATCAAAACTAAAAATTTTAGCTCTCTGAAAGACCCTACAAAGAGGATGGAAAGACAAGCTATAGACTGGGAGAATATATTTGCAAACTACATATCTGATAAAACACTAGTAGTATTTAGAATATAAAAAGAACTCTCAAAACTCAATAATAAAAAATCAATTTAGAAAATAGGCAAAAGGCATGAGCAGACATTTCATTGAAGTGGAATAGATGGCACATGAGATGTTCAACCCCATTAGGTATCAGGGAAATGTAAATTAATACCACTACATTAGTGGTGTGGTGTGAGATCACTACACACCTATCAGAATGGCTAAAATGTAAAATAGTGACAACACCTAATGCTGGTGAGGAGGTGGAGAAACTGGATCATTCATACATTATTGGCAGGAATATAAAATGGTACAGTCACTCTGGAAAACAGGTCGTTTCTTATCAAACTAAACATGCAACTACCATATGACCCAGCAATTATACTCCTGGACATTTATTCCAAGGAAATGAATACTTATATTCAAACAAAAACCTGTTCACAGCTTTATTTATAATAGTCAAAACCTGTAAACAACCCAGATGTTCTTCGATGGGAGAACAGTTATATAATGTGGTACATTCATACCATGGAATACTACTCAGCAATAAAAAATAAACTATTAATGCTACAAAAACTTACATGGATCTTAAGTGAATTATGCTGAATGAAAAAATAAGCTGGTCTCTGATGTTATATACTACGATTCCATTAATATTAAATTTTTGAAATGACAAAATTACAGAGATAGAGATCAGATTAGTGATTACCAGGTGTCAGAGACTGGGGTGTGAGGTGGAAGGAAAATGGGCATGGTTATATAAAAGCAAAATGAGGGATCCTTTTGATGATGAAACTGTTTTGTATTTTGACTGTGTAGGCAGATACATGAACTTACACATGGGATAAAACTGCATAGAACTAAACACATGTACAAAAATACATGAGTACAAGTAAAACTGGAGAAATTGGAATAAGATTGCTGAATTCTAATCATGTCAATTACCTGTTTGTGATATTGTACTATAGTTTTACAAAATGGGGAAAATGGCAAAAAGGTACACGATATCTCTCTTTTATTTCTTACAACTGTATGTGAGTTTACAATTATTTCAAAATAAAACGTTTAATTTTAAACAAAAGAAGAAGCCAAGCCACAATACTCCTATAGTTTGCCCAAGGTTCTATAAGCCTGAAATAAGACTAGGAATATAACCACAATTCCCAATTTTCAGGTTCTGGATGGGTTCACTTTAAAACTAGATCTTGCAATCGAAAACTGAAAGCATTAACAGAAGTTTCAAATGTATGATTCTTCCAGACCCCAAATGACTAGCCTATAACCTAAAGGATCAGGTATTTTTATTCACTGCTATATTCCCAACTGCTAGCATACAGCGCCTGGCATTTAGTTCACATTCAATAAATGTTTATTGAACATATAAATGAATTAACAAATTAATTCCCAACTGACTTTTTCTCTTTCCTTCTGGCCCATGATCCTCTTCTAATTAGCCCGGCAGACACACAAACTGCATGTAACTAACCTTTTTTTGTGTTTTCCGGAACCTTTTCTTTCTGACATTCTTAAGTGGTGGAGTAACTAAAATAAATACAACACAGTGAAACGTTATATGATTGATGGTAGTCACATAGCTGAATTTGATAAAGACAAAGATCATGCTATAAACCAAAGGCTCATGACATGACTCCTTTGTTTTGTTTTGTTTTGTTTCTTTTGAGATCGAGTCCCACTCTGTTGCCCAGGCTGGAGTGCAGTGGTGCGATCTCGGCTTACTGCAACCTCCTCCTCCTGGGTTCAAGCGATTCTCCTGCCTCAGCCTCCTGAGTAGCTGGGATTACAAGCGCCCACCACCACACCCAGCTAATTTTTGTATTTTTAGTAGAGACGGGGTTTCACCATGTTGGCCAGGCTGGTCTCAAACACCTGACCTCAGGTGATCCACCCGCCTCGGCCTCTCAAAGTGCTGGGATTATAAGCGTGAGCCACCGTGCCCAGCCAACATGACTCCTCTTAAGAGTGTCTGAGAACTTAATGAACCAAACACCTAAGTGTGGTAAGAGGTCCCTGTTTCACAAGGAATTAGGATTCAGCAAATAAATTTTAGTCAGCAGGAATGAGCAAGGGGCTGTTGACTTACTGCCATGCTTCCAGACATATTTTTTCTCTCTCCCCCTTTCTTTTTTCCTGGTTATATTAGGATCAGCAGAGGCAGCTGATTCTTCTGGAGAAGGGTGGATATCACCATCAGTAGCGCACACAAGCATCTACATTTAACAAAGACAAAGAAGTTGCCTATGTTATGACTATGACCACAAATTTTGGGTTAGCAATCATAATCATTCTTACCACTAGAAATGCACAGAAGAGACTGATACTTGCCATTTCCAGAAAACCAAGTATTTTGTAATGTACCTTTATATTCTCTCATTTTTGCAGTCTCTCTCTTTCCCTCTCCTCCCCTCCACCAGCCACCAGCAGCACTACATATGAACTCTGAGGGTTTTTTTTTTTTTTTCCCCACTAGAGTGTTTACCACTACAGAGGGAATATATTGGAAACAGATCTTGGAACTTAGCTTAGGTTTTTTGTTTTGTTTTGTTTTTAGACAAAGTCTTGCTCTGTCATACAGGCTGGAGTGCAATGGTATGTGATCATGGCTCACTGCAGCCTCGACCTCCTGGGCTCAAGTGATCCTCCCACCTCAATCTGTAGAATAGCTGGGACTACAGGTGTGTGCCACCACACCTGGCTAATTTTGTTTTTATAGAGATGAAGTCTCACTATGTTGCCCAGGCTGGTCTCAAACTCCTGGGCTCAGGTGATCCTCCCGCCTCAGCCTCCCAAAGTGTAGGGATTATAGGCATGAGCCACTGTGCCTGGCCTATCTCAGCATTTTGATTTAGAGAGGAAATAAGAAATCAACAGCAGAGATGATGAATAAGAACCAATTTAAACCTCCAGAGTTAACAACATACTGTTTTAATACAAAGTTCAGAAGATCCCAGCTGCTCATATGTTTCAATTAATGAAAAGTCACTATAAGTGGCAAATGGGACTCTCTATAGGCGATTTGGTTAAAATAAAATACTGAAATCTAGGGATCAAACACCAAACCAGCACATGACATTTCATTCCTGTGCAATCGATCTGGAAATTAGAAATGCCAAGCAGCCATTCACCAAGTAGAAAGGAGTACTGAAAGAAAGAAAAATAGGGAGAGAAAAGAATTCCTTGAAGGATGTGAGGCTAGTAAAGAAAACTAGTCCATACCTGAGAAATGTCTGCTGTTTTATAAAAAGTTTTTTTATCAAGCGTTCTCAGGCTTTCAATAACACAAGGCAAATCAACCAGCTTAGCAGCTAGTGGAACATCTTCTACTTCAACAACTGCATGGCGCCTATCAGCTGAAGAGAAGTAAAGATTAAAGTTGATATCTTCCCAGTGAACTTTTTTTTTTTTTTTTTTTTTTTTTGAGACGGAGTCTTGCTCTGTCACCCAGGCTGGAATGCAGTGGCCGGATCTCAGCTCACTGCAAGCTCCTCCTCTCGGGTTCACGCCATTCTCCTGCCTCAGCCTCCCGAGTAGCTGGGACTACAGGCACCCGCCACTTCGCCCGGCTAGTTTTTTGTATTTTTTAGTAGAGACGGGTTTCACCGTATTAGCCAGGATGGTCTCGATCTCCTGACCTCATGATCCGCCCGTCTCGGCCTCCCAAAGTGCTGGGATTACAGGCTTGAGCCACTGCGCCCGGCCCCCAGTGAACTCTTAAACTTCCTAAGGTTTGAATAATGAAGACTTATGTGGGACAGACTAGTCTTTCCAAGAAACCTACTATCTCTCATAATGCTAAAATTGTGTACACAATTAATAGCTTCCTAAAGAAAAAAATGGAAAGCATATGGAACTCTTTTTTTCCTAGTTTACATCACTTGGGCAAAAGTAGCTAAGTTTCTTGTTAATGGATGTGAACTAAATATGTGTGAAGCAATAAATGTTTCATTCTCATCCTGAAAAGCAAATTCCATTCATTAAAACCAATTCCTTTCTTTTTAAAAGCATTTAATCGTGTCATTGTACATGTGTGTTTTCAAAGGGCTGGGTGAGGGAAGGATTGACTGACCCTAGAATGGTGCTAGTAAGTCTCAAGTTAAATCTTTAATTAGCTTCAAAAAGATAAAATTCTATACAACAGCCATATATTAAACTCTGAATATTGCTGCTCAGATGTCCCAAACATGAATGTCTTTTGACACAAGAGGACTCAAGTATAATCTTCTAGTACTATGTGAAGAAAGAAAGACACAAAACAATGTTTACCATTTTGTGTGAATTAGATTGTTTCCATTCTAGTATTATGCATAAAAGTTTTGCCAATAAGGAAGTGACAAGAAACAGTTAATATCAGTTATCTGTGGTATTGAGGTTGGGGCACCATAAAGAAGAAGAGTTTTATTTCTTCTCCTTTTGAACTTTTCTTTTTCATTTGATTTTTTTTTTTTTTTAGAAGGAGTCTCTCTCTGTTGCCCAGGCTGGAGTGCAGTGGCACGATCTCTGCTGACTGCAACCTCCGCCACCTGGGTTCAAGCAATTCTCATGCCTCAGTCTCCCAAATAGCTGGGATTACAGGTGTGTACCCCCATGCCTGGCTAATTTTTGCATTTTTAGTAGAGATGGGGTTTCGCCATGTTGGCCAGGCTGGTCTGGAACTCCTGATCTCAAGTGATCTGCCCGCCTCAGCCTCCCAAAGTGCTGGGATTACAGGCATGAGCCACCACGCCCAGCCTGTTTTATTTGAATTTTCTAACTATGAACTTATATTATCTTTAAAAAAAAAATATCAATCAGTGTTAACTAACTGGTGAGATTATGGGCCACTTTTTGTTTTCTTTATATACTTCTCTGTATTTAAAAAAAAAAACTAGCAAAATTTATTTATCTATTTTTGGTTGTGTGTTTTTTATGCAGATAAGCTTGTGTGAAAACATTTATTTATTTATTTACTTATTTACCTATTTACAAGAGCATCCATGCTCTTGGTGCAAATGGCCTCTAGATTCACCCATGGTGTCCCAAATGACAGAATTTTGTTCTTTTTAAAAGGCTGAGTAGTATGGCATTGTGTATACGTATCACACTTTCTTTATCCATTAATCCATTGACTGACACTTAGGTTGATTCCATATCTTGGCTACTTTGAATAATGCTACAATGAATATGGGAGTGCAGAGAGATATGCCTTCAATGTGTTGCTATCAATTCCTTCTGTGAATATATTCACAGAAGTGGGGTTGCTGGATCATATGGTTGTTCTATTTTTAGTTTCCTGAGGAACCTCCATACCATTAAAAAAAATAATAATAATGGCTGTAGGCCAGGCACAGTGGCTCACGATTGTAATCTCAGCACTTTGGGAGGCCGAAGTGGGTGTATCACTTGAGGTCAGGAGTTCGAGACCAGCCTGGTCAACATGGTGAAACTCTATCTCTACTAAAAATACAAAAAAATTAGCCAGGTGTGGTGGCACATGCCTGTAGTCCCAGCTACTCGGAAGGCTGAGGCAGGAGAATCACTTTAACCCAGGAGGCGGAGGTTGCAGTAAGCCAAGATCGTGCCACTGCACTCCAGCCTGGGTGACACAGCAAGACTCCATCTCAAAAAAAAAAAAAAAAAAAGGCTGTATTAATTTACATTCCCACCAATAGGGTACAAAGGTTCCCTTTTCTCCTCATCCTCATTAACAGTTGTTATTGTTCTTCTTCTTTTTTTTTTTTTTTTTTAGAGACGGGGTTTCGCCGTGTTAGCCAGGATGGTCTCGATCTCCTGACCTTGTGATCCGCCCGTCTCGGCCTCCCAAAGTGCTGGGATTACAGGCTTGAGCCACCGCGCCCGGCCTTGTTCTTCTTTTTAATAAAAGCCATTCTAACAGGTATGAGGTGATATCTCGCTGTTGTTTTAATTTGCGTTCCTCTAATGATTAGTGATGCTGAGCATTTTTTCATGAACCTTTTGGCTACTTGTATGTCTTCTTTTGAGAAGCATCTGTTCAGATCCTTTGCCCATTTTAAAATCAGTTTATTTGTTTTCTTGCTATTGAGTTGAGTTCCTTATATATTTCGATATTAACCCCTTTATTGGATGTATGATTTGCAAATATAACAAATACTATTTAAAAGAAAGAAATATATATCACTGGCCAGGCGCGGTGATGCACACCTGTAATCCCAGCGCTTTGGGAGGCCAAGGCAGGTGGATCGAGAGGTCAGGAGTTTGAGACCAGCCTGACCAACATGGTGAAACCACGTCTCTACTAAAAATACAAAAATTAGTCAGGCATGGTGTCACGTGCCTGTAATCCCAGCTACTCGGAAGGCTGAGGCAGAAGAATCACTTGAACCCAGGAGGCGGAGGCTGCGGTGAGCCGAGATCACGCCACAGCACTCCAGCCTGGGCAACAGAGCAAGACTGCATCTCAAAAAATGGAAAAAAAGAAACATATGTCACCTTTACAAACAAAGAATGGCATATCCATTTGTCATTCCCGGGGATGTTCAGAAATCATAAAGTCTATATATAGGAGACTACCAGCAGTATGAAAACCCCACAGTTGACCCCCAAGTTTCCTTAAACACACTATGGTAATCACTCAACTCGAGGTGCAATATTCCTACTTCCTTTCCTCTTAAAAGAAGAGGACTTAAGCCTCTCTAAAGCATGAGTCCATCAAGTCAGAGACCATATTCTATCATTTTTCACATCCTTAGTACCAAGTATAGTGCCTGGCACATAGCAATCCCTTAATAAATTATTGTTCAATGTATAGTGAATGGATATTAACTACTTACGCAGTAAGTCAATTTTTAGTTTATCCTTCATCTTGACACTTTGAGAATGTACTAGGTTCCTGACAGTACAAGCGTGTTCCTAAAAAGGAGGTAAATTGAAAAATCAGAAGAACTAAACATCTACTTGGCAGCTAACAGAATAAATATATCAAACAAAGTCCTCCCTTAAATAAAACCTTACACCTCCCAAATGTTACTAACAAGACCATGTACCATGAGATACTGTGCACTGTATAAGTCAAGTTAGGATGAAGCTGACTCTAAACTCATAATTGTCTCTTAGTAGCTACAGTTAATAGTTTCTCCCAGCTCTACAATCCTGCTACCCGTCTGCTATAGTTGCTAAAGAAAGGCTTACCTAGTTGCAGTTTGCTTGGTATATTAAGTAACCCTAATTAGGGAAATAGGTTTCTGAACCCCATCCTTAATATAGCTGCCTAGACTAAGTAATTGCTTGAATACGGGTATCAGTGTGGGGAAAGAGAGCCAAATACTTGTTGAGATGAGCTTTAAATGTCTTGCATGGTGGTGAATAATGCTGGCCCTTCTCACTGCCCCTTTTGAGGTGACAGAAAGGATTTCAGAGGAGTCTTATCTTGGCTGTCCAGGGAACAGGCTGTTAGTATTGGTAGTAAGTGACTGGGTCCATCATTGTCACAGCTGTTTTGCCAGGAAATCAACCTGCATGATAGGTAGTATGTACAGGAGGAAAAAATGCTGCCAAAAAAGTACACGCTATGATAGGACTGCTTACAGAACATGATTCCTGGGAAACAAATGTTCTGAGTTTTTATAGCCTACCTGAAATAGAAATGTTACAGAATCCAAGTAGAACTACAATTATAATTAAACTGTAATTGGCCGGGCACAGTGGCTCACACCTGTAATCCCAGCACTTTAGGAGGCCGAGGCGGGTGGATCACAAGGTCAGGAGATCGAGACCATCCTGGCTAACACAGTGAAACCCTGTCTCTACTAAAAAATACAAAAAATTAGCTCGGCGTGGTGGCAGGCGCCTGTAGTCCCAGCTACTCGGGAGGCTGAGGCAGGAGAATGGCGTGAGCCCAGGAGGCGGAGCTTGCAGTGAGGCAAGATTGTGCCACTGCACTCTAGCCTGGGTGACAGAACAAAGACACCATCTCAGAAAAAACAAAAACAAAAACCAAACAAAAAAACACTATAATTATGAAGATATTTGTTCTGAGATACAAATTCTTACCAGAGGCAGACGCAATATAAACTGGTTCTCAACTTCATCAGGAACTTCATCCTGGCTTTTACTCATGTCTTGATTTTGAGTTCAGGAAAGCAAAAAGAAAACCAACACAGTCACTAAAAACTCCTCTTGCTCCCCCTCCTGACCACTTCTAGTAGTACTGGTTAAATTATACAAGATCTTGCCCGTAACACTAGACACTAGACCAACACACTAGAATGATGTGTGTACAGTTAGACAATACCTTATTTGACATAACTTAATTATTTCTAGACGTTACCTTAGCTCCTCTCCAATATGTGTAGATTTTTCAAAGTCAATCCAAATTACACGATGTAATTTGATGAACAAATGAAATAACAGCTGTTATGAAACATGATTTCATCTTCTTAATCATATTCTTAGACTCTCAGGTAAAAGACTACAATTCAACAACACGGTGGTGGCTACCTAAGCAAACTATATAACCTCTGCAGGGAAGAATGCAAACCAAAAGCTGAAATCGACCTAGAAGCCACTTGCAGAAATGATCTGTGATGATTTGAAGTAAGCAAGGGCTTGATTTTCAATATTTCACCTACCTTAATGGATTAGTAGAAATTAAGCAGTCCATGGGACACCAGGCAGTTTTTTATGACTCTAGAGCCAGCAACAACAGCTTTGAGCTACCCTCAAAGTTAGGGAGTCCAGTTCTTTTTTTTTTTTTTTTTAAGACAAGAGTCTCGCCCTGTCGCCCAGGCTGGAGTGCAGTGGTGCGATCTCGGCTCACTGCAACCTCCACCTTCCGAGTTCAAGTCATTCTCCCGCCTCAGTCTCCCAAGTAGCTGGGACTACAGGCATGCACCACCATACCCAGCTAATTTTTGTATTTTTTAGTAGAGACAGGGTTTCACCATGTTGGCCAGGCTGGTCTCAAACTCCTGACCCCAAGTGATCCGCCCACCTCAGCCTCCCAAAGTGCTGGGATTACAGGCGTGAGCCACTGCGCCCGGCATGGAGTCCAGTCCTTTTCTATTCGTTTTGTTTTGTTTGTTTGTTTGTTTTTGAGATGGAGATTTTATGGAGAACATAAAATCTGATTTGATTTATTCATTATTATCCTTTCATTCATTACTACCTTTTATTGTGTGCATTCTGTATGGCCAGTACTACATTGAGTACATTAGGTCTATCATTTCATATAATCCTTACAACCACCACTTACTTCGAATGCCCCCAAAAGCTATTTAAAAGAACTCCTAAGATGGATCTCTTCACTTAAAAAATATACATACCTTTGGTGAAATGAATACTTCCTTCCAAGTTAATCTTTTTTTGACAAATTATAATCATATATAATAATGGGGTACACAGTGATGTTATGATATAGTGTGAAATGACTGAATCAATCTAATGAGCATATCCATCACCTTAAATACTTATCAGTTATTCCCCTTAACTGCAACTTTCATTTTTTTAATTTTAAAAGCCAAATTTGGCAGTGGGAGATTGTATACCAACTTTAGTGGCATTAATGTTAATAAGTTCTGACAATATCCCACTACTATCAGACCAGCCTAACTGAAATTTTCTATTTGATCAACATCTCCTCACTGCCCCTCCCCCTACTACAGCCTGTAATAACCAACACTCTACTCTCTGCTTCTGTGAGTTCAATTATTTTAGATTCCACATATAAGTGAGAATATGCGATTTTTGTCTTTCTCTGCCTGGCTTATTTCACTTAATATAATATCCTCCAGATTCATCCATGTTGTTGCAAATGATAGAATTTCCTTCTTTTTAAAGGCTGAATAGTATTCAGTTGGGTACACATACCACATATTTATCCATTCACTTGTTGCATACCTAGATTGATTTCGTAACTTAGCTATTGTGAGTAATGCTGCAATGAACGTGTGTGTGCAGCTATCTCTTTGACACACTGATTTCAAGTTTTTAGGATATACATCCAGAAGTGGGATTGCTGGATCCCAAGTTATTTCATTATTTTTCATTTTTTCATTATTTTTCAATTTTTTGTTCTTCCAATGAACCAAGATTTTATTTCTAATCTTATTTTCCATGTATTTGGGATGTATTTGTAGAACCATGCATTTGGGGTATTAGGGCCCTTTTTTTTTTTTTTTTTTTTTTTTTTTTTTTTGAGACAGAGTTTCACTCTTGTTGCCCAGGCTGGAGTGCAATGGCGTGATCTCAGCTCACTGCAACCTCTGCTGCCCGTGTTCAAACAATTCTCTTACCTCAGCCTCCCGAGTAGCTGGCATTACAGGTACCTGCCACCATGCCCAGCTAAATTTTTTTTTTTTTTTTTTTTTTTTGTATATTTAGTAGAGACGGGGTTTCACCATGTTGGCCAGGTTGGTCTCGAGCTCCTGACCTAAGGTGATCCACCCGCCTCGGCCTCCCAAAGTGTTGGGGTTACCGGTGTGAGCCACTGTGCTCAGCCAGGCCCACACTTCTGTGGGAGACTTTTCTCAAAGGTGGAAAGATGGCTGGGCGCTGTGGTTCACACCTGTAATCTCAGCACTTTGGGAGGCTGAGGCAGGAGGATCACCTGAGGTCAGGAGTTCCAGACCATCCTGGCCAACATGGTGAAACCCCATCTCTACTAAAGATACAAAAATTAGCCGGGAGTAGTGGTGGGCGCCTGTAATCCCAGCTACCTGGGAGGCTGAGGCAGGAGAATTGCTTGAACCCAGGAGGTGGAGGCTGCAATGAGCCAAGATGGCACACTGCACTCCAGCCTGGGTGACACAGTGAGACTCCTCAAAAAAAAAAAAAAAAAAAAAAAAATCAGCAGTAGAAAAGCAGACACCCAGGATGGGAGAGGGAAAGATGCATTATTTGTGATTGTAATTTCTTCTCTTCTTGTTTCATGCAGATATATATGAATATATGTGCATCCATAAATACAAAAGAGAAATATAAATGCAAGAAGAGAGTTGATTAAAATAAATAAAAAATCTGGGGGCTGAGCACATTCCCTAACAGAACATAGTAACAATTAAGGCTGGGAGCAGGAACAGATTATTTGAAGAACTAGCTGCTAAGCAAGATTTTATCAGATCAGTAGTAACTTTTAGATTTCTCAGCAGAACTAAAACTAGGGCATTTTGTTCATTTCCAAGCCTTTTTGGTAATTCCTCTTTTATGGAAGAAAGAATGTAAGAACTGAAACTATTTCAATGTAGTTGTTTGATAAACAGGCCTAATAAAAGGTCCGGTGGGAGAGAAGTTTAAAAATCCTAGTTGAACTGGGTTTTAATTATTTTTTAAATTTGTTACTTGCATTTACCTAAACAACTAGTTGTACGTTATTCACTTTAAGAAAAAGCATCTGCTTTTTTCCAGCAAGCACTCTTTGATACCTGATTAAATTAACAGGACCCCTTCCCACCATTCACCTAGCTCCATCTCGCTTTAGCAGAATTACAATTGGAATTATAATTGGCTGGAGGGCGCCTGGCAGCATGCTTCAGGCCATGCAAGTCAGTACACGCCTAAATGGGTGTTTTTTCAAGTTCGCAGTCGCTAGCTACAGTTTAGAGACTGACCTCCATCCTTATCCCCGGGGCACTAAGCTTTCAAAGGGAAAGTTCCACCCCTAGGCTTTGATCCACTTTCCCTTGAAAACCTCCCGCGAGGCCCAAAAGGTCGCAACGGGTCCCAGCCTTCGCGCCTCGCCGTGCAGGCGGGCTGGGGAGGGCAGCTGGGTGCACCACGGCGGGGTGCACAGCGGCGGGGGCGCTGACCAGGTCCCGGACGCCCGGTCGGCCGTCCGACTCACCCGCTCCTCCGCGGACTGGCGCCAACACCGAAAAGGCTGTGGGGCTGGGGACCTGCGCCTCTGGTCTGTGGGCTCCGGACGAACCGCGCGTGGGCTCCCGCGCGGAACGTAGAGGCGAACGCTGGGCGGCCGGCGCCTGGACAGTAAGAGCGGCGCGCGCCGGCCCCTCCCCGCCTCGCCACGCCTCCGCGGTCGCGCTGCCCAGCCGACTGAAGCACGACCTCGAGGCAGTGGCCGGCTCACCGCGTGCTGGGCGGGAAGGCTAGAAAGGCGCCCAGCGCCGAGGGGAGGGCCCAGGGGGACGCGACCGCTCAGGGACCTCGCGAAGCAAGACCGAGGCTTCAAAACAAATTACCTTGGCCGGGCGGGGTGGCTCACGACTGTAATCCCAGTACTTTGGGAGGCCAAGGCGGGCAGATCTCGAGGTCAAGAGATCAAGACCATCCTGGCCAACATGGTGAAACCCCGTCTCTATTAAAAATACAAAAATTAGCTGGGCGTGGCTGCGCGCGCCTGTAGTCCCAGCTACTCGGTAGGCTGAGGCAGGAGAATCCCTTGAACCCGGGAGGTGGAGGTTGCAGTGAGCCGAGATTGCGCCACTGCACTCCAGCCTGGCGACAGAATGAGATTCCGTCCAAATAAATAAATAAATAAATACCTTTACATAGGGGCAACCTTCAGGGCGCCAGAAGATTTTTACCAGGCGACAGCGATACTCCTAAGAGGCGAGTTGGACCGGGCGCGGTGGCTCACGCCTGTAATCCCAGCACTTTGGGAGGCCGAGATGGGTGGATCACCTGAGGTCAGGAGTTCGAGATCATCCTGGCCAACATGTTGAAATCCCGTCTCTATTAATAATAATAATAATTAGCCAGGCGTGATGGCGGGCGCCTGTAATCTCAGCTACTCAGGCAGCTGAGGCAGGAGAATCGCTTGAACCCGGGAGGCAGAAGTTGCAGTGAGCCGAGATCGCACCACTACACTCCAGCCTGGGCAACAAGAGCAAAACTCCGTCGAAAAAAAAAAAGAAAAACAATAAAAGCGAGTTGCTCGCTTTTGGTTGCTCCTCCATTCCGTTAGGTCGGACGGTTTGTCCCTAGGCACGGTGACCTCGCCTGGTGACAAATACGCCGCCGGGCAAACCCACTGAACAGCTAGAATCCGTGCCCAAAGCCCTCTAACATGATCAGTTGCTCCCCTCTCCTCAACAGGGTCAACATTTTACATCCTCTGGAGAGGGGCACAAGTTCCGTCGCCAACTGCTCCTCAAGGGGCCGCAATTCAAACAAATTTTGAATCGAACTAAAAGCAGTTTGTTTCTCCTAAAGAAGGTCCTCGGCTGGGGGAACAAGTTTAAAAAGCCACCTACCTTTCCCTTCCTGGAAGTTTTCTGGGGCCTGGGCAGCAGCCTGGGCGCTGCCGTCCGCATCCGTTTGAGCGTACTGGTCGGCAGGAATCTGGGTGCCTTGGTCGCCAGCAATGTCGGCGCTGCTTTCACAGGTGGTTTCAGACCCACGGTCGACAGGAATTTGGGGCTCTTGTTGGCTAGTTACTTCCGATGTTGAAACTGTTGGTGTTGAATCATTTTCTGAAGAAACGGGGAGCCGTCCCTCGGGGCACTCCATGGTCCACCTCGTTGGGGTTGTAAAATGGCTTCCTGTGTAGTCACGTGACCTGAAGGGTTCCAGAACCTTCGTAAATGTAAAAGGTTTCTTTACGTCTTTAAGACGTAATACTATTACCGACATTGCCGGTGCCTGTTCGAGATTGTAGCAGCCAAGTCTCCACTGCCTAACACTTAACCTAAACGTAATCGTAGGGAATAAATATTTTCGGAAGACGATTCTACAATCATTTTGTTTTGGGACATGATTTTTTTCATTCAATTAAACTAGATTATCAGAGCTTCAGACCAAGACAAAATTGTTTTGGTCCCTTTTAGAATCCATCTGCTAACCTTCATTTTGGCATTATGACATGGGGCTACATCAAGGATTATGCAACAAAATAGGCCAAAGAGACCAGTTTTACATTTACTATACAATATTCTTGAAGGCATTAATTATATCAAAAAAAGAATCCTTTCATGAAAACGGAAATGAAAATTCTGTTTTTGGTAACTGAAATAGCTGAATAATTGTTTTGAATTGTAAGGACAGCGTGAATTATATAATTAAATTTATTATGGCTGCTAGGAAGCTCAGAACCAAACTTGCAACCAACTTGTAATAACTGTGATCCTTACTGGCATATGTTGAGTTTTATCTTAAATAAGTGTGTTCTCTCCCATTTCCCTAATTATTTTTTGTCTCATGCAGTAAATAACACTAAAAGCTGCTCAAAGCCTTTTCAAAAAGTATCAGATATATATGTTTGGTAAATGAAAATAGTACTCTTGGCCAGGTGCAGTAGCTCATGCCTGTAATCCCAGCACTTTGGGAGGCCGAGGCAGGTGGATCACCTCAGATCAGTAGTTCGGGACCAGCCTGGCCAACATGGTGAGAATCCCCCGTCTCTACTAAAAATACAAAAATTAGCCAGGCATGGTGGCACGTGCCTGTAATCCCAGCTACTAGGGAAGTTGACGCACAAGAATCGCATGAACCTGGGAGGCGGAGGTTGCCTTGAGCCAAGATCGCGCCACTGCACTCCAGCCTGGGTGACAGAGCGAGACTCCGTCAAAAAAAAAAAAAAAAAAAAGAAGGAGAAGAAGAAACTAGTACTCCTGACAGAGGTGTCTCAGGGAGCATCCCTGTGGGTAGAGGAGGGGAGCACAATAACTGCTCACTTATAAATTCAATCATCCAACAAATGTTAGTTGAGAATTTAGTGTGCCAGACGGGATTTGAAACATTTATTAAATGCTTAAAATATAGTTAAGTGTTTCATGGGAAGGAGGCAAAAATTATCCTTCAGAAATTTACAATCTACTTAGAGCATACACATATGTAACTTTTTCATTATTGCCAAAGTTCCAGCCCCTTCATAAGAAAACAGGGAAATATAAAGTGGAAGAAAGAAAAGGATATGAATTATGGTTTCTTTTGGTAGAGGAGAGGTGATCCAAGAAGCAACATGATGTACAAATACAGAAAAAAAAAAAACTGTCCTATACGTACTATCATATTGTCAGGTACATAGAGAGTGTATTTCCGGGTTCTAGTCTGTCATGCTGCAGTTTCTTTTCAATAAGTTCTTTTGCATGCCTTTCCCTATAAAGCACTCGTCTCCCTCCCTAACTATGCTTCAGTTTCATCATTATAGCATATATGCAGTTGCATGTGTTCCTTCAATGTAAGTTTATTAGGTATCGGAAATTGTCCTAAGGTCATTAATAGCTAACATTCACTGAGTGTTTATGTGCTAGACTCTTTGCTAGTGCTTCGTATGCGATATTTCACTTAACTCTCACAATTGCCCTCTGAGTTTGGTATGATTATGATTCTGTTTATTGATTTTTGTTTTCAGATTAGCAAACTGAGATTTTAAAAGGTTAATTAACCCTATCTTTCATCATATACAAAAATCAACTCAAAATGGATTGAAGACTTAAATGTAAAACCTGGCACTATGAAACTACTAAAAGAAAATATTAGGGAAACTCTCCAGGACATTGGACTGGGCAAAGATTTTTTTTTTTTTTTTTTTTGGTAAGACTTCAAAAGCATGGATGACAAAAGCAAAGATAGACAAATGGGATCACATCAAGGTAAAAAGCTTCTGTACAGCAAAGGAAACAAACGACAAAGTGAAGAGATAACCCACAGAATGGGAGAAAATATTTGAAAACTATCCATGCAACAAGGGATTAATAACCAGACTATATAGGGAACTCAAACAACTCAGTAGTGCAAAAAATAAATAAATAAAAATAAACAGTTAATCCGATTTTTAAATGGGCAAAGACCTGAATAGGTCTCAAAAGAAGAGATACAAATGACCAACAGATACATAAAAAAATGCTCAACATTACTAATCATTAGGGAAGTACAAATCAAAACCACAATGAGATATCATCTCATCCCTGTTAGAATAGCTATTATCAAAAAGACAAAAAAATAACAAATGCTGACAGGGATGCAGATAAAGGGGAAACCTTGTATACTGTTGGTGGGAATATAAAGTAGTACAGTCATTATGGAAAACAGTACGGAGGTTCCTCAAGAAACTAAAAATAGGCCAGGATGGTGGCTCACACGAGTAATCCCAGAACTTTGGGAGGCCAGGCAGGAGGATCACCTGAGCCCAGGAGTTCGAGACCAGCCTGGGTAACATACTGAGACACCATCTCTACAAAAATAAATAAATTAATTAATTAACTAATTAATAAGAAACTAAAAATAGAACTTTCACTTGGCCCAGCAATCCCATCACTAGGTATAGGTATATATCCAAAAGAGAGGAAATCAGTATATCAAGGAGATCTGCACTCCCAAGTTTATTGCAGCACTATTCACAATAACCAAGATATGGAATCAACCTAAGTGTTCATCAGCGGATGAATAGAAAAAGAAAATGCGGTATATAGGCCAGGCGTGGTGGCTCACGCCTGTAATCCCAGCACTTTGGGAGGCTGAGGCGGGCGAATCACGAGGCCCAGAGATTGAGACCATCCTGGCCAACATAGTGAAATCCCATCTCTACTAAAAATACAAAAATTAGCTGGGTGTGGTGGTGAACGCCTGTAGTCCCAGCTACTCAGGAGGCTGAGGCAGGAGAATTGCTTGAACCCGGGAAGCAGAGGTTGCAGTGAGCCGAGATCACACCACTGCACTCCAGCCTGGTGACAGAGTGAGACTACGTCTCAAAAAAAAAAAAAAAAAAAAAGAAAAAGAAAAAGAAAGAAAATGCAAAATGCGGTATATACACACAATGGACTCTTATTCAGCCATAAAAAGAGTGAAATCCCATCATTTGCAGCAACATGGATGGAACTGGAGGCCACTGTGTTAAATGAAATAAGCCAGACATAGAAAGACAAATACTGCGTGTTCTCACTCATATGTGGGAGCTAAAAAAGTAGATCTCATGGAGGTAGAGAATAAAATGGTGATTACCACAGGCTAGGAGGGGAGAATGAAGAGAAGTTGATTAAGGGGTATAAAAATACAATTCAGTAGAAGTAATAAGTTCTAGTATTCAGTAGTACATTAGGGAAATTATAGTAAACAATAACTCATATATTTCTAAATAGCTAGAATAGAAGAACTGTAATATTCCCAATACAAAGAAAAGATAAAAATGTTTCAGGTGATGGATATCCCAATTACCCTGATTTGATCATTACACATTGTAGACAAGTATCAAATATCACATGTGTCCTCCAAAATATGTACTATGATTATACATGAATTAAAAAGAAATATGTAAGTTGTGGATAAATTTGATCAGTTATTTATAATAATCAAAATTTTGTTTTCTAGGTATTAGATTTTGGTATTATACACAGACTCTAAACTTCTAATTATTTTAATATACTTTTAAATATAAAAAACCTACAATTTTTCTTGATATTATGTATTAGCAGTCAACCCTAGAGTGTGATTTTTCTTCTCAGATCTATGTATATGCCTAAACTATATTTTATTTAAGTGTATTATGTATGTAATATAGGAGAGACAAGAACTCAACATAAAATCAACAAAAAATGGACATGTAATAAAATGTCCATTATATTTTTGATGCTTACTATGCATCAGAATTTTGGGAGGAGTTTTTTTTTTAAATGCAGATGTAAAGTTCCTATCTTTTCAGAGATTCTGATTCAGTTGTCTTGGGGTGAGGCATGGGTATTGCTCTAGGTATATTTTTAAATTTCAGATTTCACATTATTCCAATGTGTAGCCAGGATTGAAAGCCGTTGTATATCTAGTTTCATTGGAGCATAGGCAAAGGAGGAGTCAAAAAGAATTGACTTTTTACATCCTGCACTCTCTAGGAGAGAGTCTGAAACTGGGAGATGTGAACTTTTCCTGGAAAGACAGGTACTGTCTGCTATGTCTCAAAAAAGTCTGGATTAGATTTTGCTTAAGACAATCCACATTTCTTTGCTGATTACTAACTTTACAAGTAACATCAGCCTCCTTGATACTTCAAAATTATAAAAGGATGTGCCCGAAATAAGGTGTTTGAGCATTCTTTCTAGATACTTGAGTGTCTAAAATTGTCATTCTAGTTTATCCATTAGTATACCTTGTGAGTTTGCTAACAAGGGGAACTGACAAGATCAAGTTTTAAAGTTGTGAGGCTGAATACCGGATCCCGATTCCTGGTAAATTTACCAAATTAGCTGGGCCAGGTGACTTATCCCTATAGTCCCAACCCTTCTGGAGTCCGAGGTGGATGGATCGCTTGAGCTCAGAAATTCAAGACCAACCTGGGCAACATGGTGAAATTCCATCTCTAAAAAAACTATGAAAATTAGCCGGGCATGGTGGCATGTGCCTGCGGAGATACTCGGGAGACTGAGGTAAGAGGATCACTTGAGCTTGGGAAGTCGAGGCTTCAGTGGTCCAAGATCGTACCCCTGCACTCCAGCCTGGGTGATAGTGTGAGACACTGTCTCAAAAAAAAAAAAAAAGTATTAAATTAGTGACCCTGTATTATCTCTTAAAAGTTAGATATTCTAAATTTATTGATGTACAATTTATGAAGCCCTGAAGAATTTGTAATAAAATTTTGTAGATAAATAAACAAAAATATGTAATTAAAATGAAAAGGTTAATTAACTTGACCCATGTCACACACCTAATAAAGGGCAGAACCAATAATTTATTTAAGCCCAGTTCCATTTGATTCTCACTACTGCCTATGTCTCCATATTCAGATCTCTCCTGCATAGTTAGTCTCCTTTCTACCCTCCCC